TTATTTATTTTTTTTAAAACTGAACTGAAACTGAAAGAGTGAAAGTGAGTGAGAAACGAAAAATCATATAGAATCTAGATCTATATTATATCCTTGGGTGTCCTCTGGGTCTCCGCACGTGAAGCTCGAACATCATCATGCTTTTGACACGAATAGGACTAGAAAGCTAAACCTTATTATATACAGGCCTTCGCGTAATACAGGAGGCAAGGTGAGCATGCAAACAGCCTGTGAGTTGAAAAAAATTTAATTTAAATGATATCAATTCTAATTAACATAATATACAATTTTTATAATCACATTTTATTCGCTCTCCTCTAGAGACTATATTGGGGGGGGCCTACCTATTTATAGACTCATGTTTCTTACGAAAAAAGTATGACTAATAAAGGAGTCAATAAAGTAAACAAGCCCAAAAGCGGATTGTATAGCGGCCTTTCATGTTGTTCGGGAAGGACACGTCATTCGTGCAATGTAATATCTGAGTGCTGTTTCATCAGGCTAACAGGTCCTGTAGGTACTGTAAACCCTACATTTTTGCCGCTATTGTAATCATCGTGCCTCTGCCTTGCCAACACTGAGCAACTTTATTTATGTTATGCCAATAAACAAGTTAAATAATCATGCCACTAGCCTTCAATATTGAAGAATTCACTTCAATGCTCTTTATTGTGGACAATATTTCCATTACAAAAATAATATTGCAATCTATAAAAGAAATTATTACCGTATTGAGCATATCCAAAAATAGAAATTTAGTGTTTCCAGTCAATGACGTCAAAGATTTTAACCAATGAAAACCCTCCACATCACCCAGTTCGACATTACTCGCCAAGTGCATGAAGAAGAAGAAGCAAAATGACCTGAGTCCAGAATAATTTGTGTAATTCGCCGATACGGCCGTGGAACTTGTTCCTTTTGACTTGGATACGGAACTTGAAACTTGAACTATGTCTTTGATCACTCCTAAAACGATTGTCATCACAGCTTACCCTGGTAAACACGGTAGCATAAGCATGCAGTCAAATCAATCCGAGTACTCTCTTCTCGACTCTGTCGACTTCGACAGTGATGGAGGAGGGGGTCCCAGGAAACGAAGACGTTTGACACACCTTTCACCAGATGAGAAGATGTTGAGAAGGTAGGTGTACTTATAATTGTTTTATTGTTAACCGGTCAAGTTATGTTGCTGTCGTATTGTTTTTGCATGTCAAAATCGGGTTAAAGTCGTGCCATATTGTAGGTGATTGGCGTTGTGTCGTGGCTGTGGGCGTGGGGCGGTGGCTCGTGCAAGGGCGCCGCCCCACCCAAAATTATAGATCTGAAATATAGATTAGATCTAGACTCTAGATATCTAGATGTCGTTCTTGATAGATCTAGATTCTAGAAAGATCTAAGAGGGATTGGAGGATGCGGGGTGAGTAGATCTAGATCTAGATTCTAGATCTAGGCTTATTCAATTCCCTCACTTTCAGATTACACTTACACTGTTGTGTTTGAAATGGAAGTGGCTATTCTCATCCGGGGTGAGAATAGAAAAACGATCTACCTCTCACCCCGGGTGAGACTTGCCAGCGTAGGCTATTCTCACCCGGTGCGAAACAAGACCTGCTTT